TCAGCTAGAGTATGTGGTGGAAAACCCAAGACTAATATGATCAGAACCAACTCAGAGCCCATTTCAAGGCTTATTTTGTGATGCTAATGGTGGTGGAGAGATATTTTTTTCTCTTGCAGTATTATTTCTGCACAGTATTATCCAGTGCACCTTCTCTGAGTGATAAAAAGAAAATTTCAACCAAGTCAACATTTATTGTGCCCATCAGAACTCTTAGTAGTATGTGGTAACAGTTTTGCTAGGTGTTTTGCTGATAAAATTGCTCTGATTAATTCTGACCCAGATTCTACTGTAGGAGCAGAGTCTAGAGCAGAAGTGTCCAGACTTTCCTCTTGTCCAATTGTTTGGAAAGAGTTTCAGGTGCTAACACCTGAGGATGCGGACAAAATTTGCTCAGTCGGTCATGTGCCATCTCTGGTAAAGGTTCACCAAAAGAAGCTTTACTTCTCTCTGTAGGAGGGAATTGACAATCCAGTACATTTTTGGCCCTGGATTGGCCCAGTTACAGATGCTGTCCTTGAACAAAATGGATTTCAGACCCTGACTCTGTGTCATTTGCCATCAGAACTTGTGACTTTTGCTGAGAGCTCAGCAATACAACACTGGGCCTTGCATTCCATGAGGAACATCTAACTGCAAGTAGTGTAAATACTCAGGAAGTCCTGTTTAACTTTGTTCCGGTGAGGGGAGCTCATCTAAAGTTTGTCTAAATAGATTTCTACAACAGAAGACACCCAACTGTGTTTGACTTCACACAGTGTTATGGGTGAGAAGAAGCATGGTTTGCTGGGTTTTTGCCAACTGAATAAAGATAAACCACTTCTGAGATGCTATGAGAGAGCTTCCACACATAAGAAGAAAGCTTCCACACACACACACACACACATACCACCCCCTGCTGCTGTCTGTATGCACGGGCAATCATCCTGTACAGGGGAAAGTCTCCAGGTATTTCCCAACCCAGACCTGGCAACCCTAAGTGCACACTGCAACTCTGACAAGCAGACCAGTCTAATGACTGATGAGAAGATCTCTCACTGGGGTATTGTTCTGGTTTACTGAAAGATGGAGTGGGTATGGGGTTTTCCAGGCCCCTGGAATACAAAGTAAACAATTAATGAGGGGGAAATTAAGTCGACACCTCTGTCTCCTCTGAGGAGTGGGGTGCCAGCATGGTGCCATCCCATCCCAGGGGAAATATAGAAAAGTCCAGGACAAAGGTGGGGGGGGGGCAATAGTAGCCTTTTCTGTTTAGAGTCCACTGCTGTTGAGGATGCTGGATCTTGAGACCTCTGGAGGCCTATCTTCACCCTGCCCTCCCCTCCCCCAAATTCTCAGGAGTCAGAGGGTTGAGAGGCCCACTATCCTGTGAGGGTCCTGTCTCTTCAGCCTTCCTGGATCCTTGGATAGGTGGCTTTGAAACTGCAACAGCTTGCTTGCTAGGAACCTGAGCTATAAGTAGAAGGGCAGAAGGGTGGTAGGGTGGCAAGTAGGTTTTCATAGACTGGCTGAAATGCATTAAGCTTGCTGTCATGTTTCAACCTTTTTTCTTCAGGTGTATGTGCAATGCCTCATTTAGAACTGTGCTGCTTGCTTATGCTTAGGTATATACCACCCTTGTTTATGTTTATACCCCTCCCCGTTTACACTTCTGCACTGCCTATTCATGTATCCCACATTATTTGCTCCAGCCATATACATATTTCTGGTGGTTTTCTATTTGTACCTTCCCCCATGTATTCATGTATCATGCATCTGATTCCATTTGCATTTTGCTTTTGCAGGGTATTGTGCAGTAGTGCCTTCCAACAAACCACTTAATTTGTGTCAGTAACATATTGGAGTCTGTGCCTTCCTGCTGGCAGTCACATACCCATTGTGGTGATCAGAACCTGTAGGAACAGAAACCTCCTGGATCCAGTGCTGTTAGATGCTTGGGTGCCTGCCATGGCTATTCTTTCACTTGGTTTCAGTTTGACTGATATGCCATATGCTGCCACTTCTGGAAAGATGTAGCCATAGTCACTCCGCTAATGTCTTGCAATATGCTGTACATCAAGCTGTTTCTGAATGCAGTTTGGAAATTTCAAGAGCCATCGGTATATTGTTGATACCCACCTATATTTCAGAACATGCATGGCTTTCTACTGGAGCTAGTCTCAGAGCTCACTTAATATTAATCTTTGCTGATCTGTATCAGTTACTTGTTTGTTTCTGAGTTAAATTTAAATTGCTAGTTTAATCCTTTAAAGACCCAAATGATCTTAGGGAGTATCTTCTCTTGTATGTAGCCCAGCCATGAAACAAGACCAAGTGTACAGATATTGAACTGAATGCTACCCCACAGATTTTCTTCCACCGTTTCCCCCTATGGTGGCATCTGCATTATTGCCCTCCCAAGAGACATTGACCTGAACAGTTCTTTTGCAAATGGTGAAAAAGGTTACTGATCATTGATTTGTTTTAATTACACTTTATAATAGATACAAACACAATCCAGTCAATCATGAGCGCAGTGGCCACAAGAGGAAGATTTTCATAGCCTTAATAGCCTATTTTAGGATGCAGTCACACGGGCAGGAAAATGCGGGAGGGGGGGAGCGTGGCTGTTTGCCCCGGGGCAAAATAACGCGCGGTTGCGCGAGCAGACATCCCGTGGAGGTCCCTTGGTAGGGGGGAGGTGCCGATCACACCACAATCCTGCGGCGCGGCAAAGAAGCGGTGCACTGCGGCAAACGGGTGGGTTTTTATTCTGTGCACCGACGTGTGCGCATGCCCAATTGGGTGCTTGTGCGCATCCCGAGGACACTTGGGGAAAAAACCCTTTTTGCGAGGGGACATGGGCGGGCGCCGGATGCCATGGGATTTTACCGGAAACGCGATCACACGCCCGCCCTTGCCCCGCGGTTTCCGGAAACTAGTACCTCCAAGGTACTCGTTTTTTACCGCGCATCTTCGGAGTGAAGCCTTGGGTGAGCCACAGGAGCTCTACGCTTCCCAGATGTGGCGGTGAGATTGCGCCCAGAAAATCCGCCTATCTTCCGTCTCTCTAGTGTGCTTAATGCTCCGTGTGACCACAGCTTTACAATAGTTAACAAAATGCATTTGGCAAACTGGAAACTGGTGAAGGGTGGTGTTGCAAGGAAAAATGAAAAATATCACATGCAAACAAAAAGGTTGGGTGATATGCTAAAAAAAAATTACATTAAACATCGATGACCAAGCTGCTGGTGGAACCAGAATAGGTGTAACTTCCTTGATTTTTAGCTGCCCTGGGAGCCCCAGCTGTTCAAGGAGAAAGTAAAAATAATGTTAGTGCATCTGTAGAGCTTTCCCACCTACAAGTGCTGTTAAGGCAGGCTCATAGCATCTGTCAGGATAGGTATGATCAAGTGGTGTTGAGATTAGTCTCTTCCTGCCTGTTTGGGAGCTACAAGAATTTCCAGTTGTCCAGTCACAAACCCTGATTTTCAGTCCAGCAAAGGTAAGTAATATAAATTGAATCAATGGCAGGGGGGTTTTCTACTTCAGTGTGGTAGAGGTGGGTTAGATATTGGTACCCCCATCCATAACCTTTATGAGCTAGTCAACCTTTGGGAATTCTGTGCAGAATAATTAGAAAATGTATTTGTATTATGGATGGCATAAGGATTGACTCATGCATATGAATCACCATCCGTCCATGCTAGCTTCAGTCCCAAAAATGTGCACTTGTGAAACTACGCTTTAAAAATGAGGGCAAATTCTTTTCTTTTCTGTCTGGTAACTGAAATTTTACTCTAATTTATTTTTCTTTATCATACAAATCCCTCTGTGCCTTCAAGGACTCAGAGTAGCACATATACTACTTAACAGCACTTAAGTAGTATATCATCTACTTAAATACATCATAAGTATATATGATGTACTACATTAAGTAGTACATCATATATATCATCAACTTAAGAGCACTGTGAGACAGGTTAGACTGAGGTAAAGTGACTTGCTCAGAGCTACCCATTCCAGGTTCATAGTCAAGTAGGAATTTTAACTCAGGTCTTCCTGGTCCTCATCTGACATGGTCTCCCAAGTGTTAGTGACATTTTTTTCCATGTCCACTAGTGCAGTATATATTAGATTATAATCAATACATTTATCCAGAGGCCTGTGATACCATACTTCCCTCTCCCATCAAAGCAAATAAACAATTAATGCAATTCATTATTTGCAAAGTTAAAATGTGGTAGCCCTGGTGTTCAAAGTACTCTTTCCTGAAGTTGAGACCTTAGGTCAAATGAGTCGACCATTAAAAGAAAGGAAAGTGTTCTCTTATAAATGTATGAAATCAGCCCATTGGTCCATTGTCTCCACTGTATGGCAGTGGTTCTTCAAGCTCTCAGGCCTTTCCCAGCACTTCCCTGCCCACCTTCACCTGCTGCAGCCCACTGATCTCCACAAAAAGCTGCTACTGGGGGACAGGGAACCCTGAGGAATGACAGGCGGCGGGGGGGGGGGGAACGGACAGCAGCAGGAAGGGGGAACCAGCAGAAAATGCTAATTTAGTCTGGATCCAACTCAAATCATGTGCTCAGCCTCTGAGCCATATCACTGCATTCTACAATGAGCATGGTCATTGCAAAGAGATATTTAAGGGTGAGAACTGTGTATGAAACTGTGAATGGTTGAGGGAAGGGGGTATGAGGCATGACTTTGACAAGAAATTTTCCGTCGTGTAAGAATAACGCTGAATACAATAACACTGGTGTATGAACCCAGGCGCACCCCATTTGGAAACAGTTTGGGGCATCATTAAAGGGGTCACCATGATGGTTTTCTTCCCCAACCAGCAAGTAGTCAGGGACCATCCTTGACTGGAGTGATGATCCTATATTGTGGGAAGAAAGAGAAAATCATTTCCCCAAAGATCTTCTGTAGCAACAGCAAGGCAGACGAGTGAGTGGTTTCTATCACAGTTCTATTTCCCCCCTCCCTGATGTTGCTTCCCTCAATTAGGACTTGTGATGGCTTCCTCCATGGCACCTCCTCCAGGCTGCGGTAACATTGACCCTGACTACTATTTCCTCTGTGACGTCTGTGCAGCCTGGGGCATCGGCTTGGAAACTCTGGCTGCTGCAGGCGTTCTGGCCACCCTGATCCTCCTGCTGGCATTCTTTGTCTGTAGCTGCATGACCAAGGACAAAAACAAGAAGAATGTGATTCCCATCCAATTCCTGTTCATCCTGGGCACCCTAGGAATATTCAGCCTCACATTTGCTTTCATCATCCAGCTCAATAAGAAAACTGGCCTGATACGCTTCATCTCATTTGGGGCCCTCTTTGCTCTTTGCTTCTCCTGCCTTCTGACCCATGCCTCCAACCTCATCAAACTGGCGAGAGGAAAGCCCCCCCTTTCCAAGTTATCAATGCTGATACGTACTGTTGGCCTCACATTCATTCAGATCATCATAGCTGTCAAATATGCCATTCTCACAGTAGAAAGAGGTGGCATAGACTTGGCCAACATGGGGAGAGAACAGCGCAACAAGGACTTTGTCATGCTCCTGATCTACGTGATTGCCCTAATGTTTTTCACCTTTATTATCTCCATGTTCACTTCCTGTGGACCATACAAAAGCTGGAAGAGGCATGGGATGCACATCTGTATCACTCTCCTTTTCTCCATAGCCATTTGGAGTTCATGGATCAGCATGTTGCTCTTGAGTGGCGTCCCTTCTGATGTGGATCAAAGCCAGTGGGATGACCCCCTTTTTAGTGTTGCTTTGGTGGCCAATGGATGGGTCTTCCTCATGATGTATACACTACCTGAGATCTGCTTCCTTACTATCCCACATCAGTCTGAAGATTACCCTTCTGAAGGGATTCTCTGGAAGTCCACAGCCAGACAACAGAGTGTTGAAGCTGGGAGTACTCACGGTATGTGGTTGTTCTGGGATAGCAAAGCAGAGGAGCTTATGAAGTTAGTGGCAGAGATTCTGTTGAAATGAGAAATTTGGAGAGAGAAGATGAGGGGGGTACAGCTTATTAATTTATTAAAGCATTTATACCCCACTTTTCCTTGTGGTTCAGTTAAGGCAGCTTGAGCTTGCTACATGAGGCAAAGAAAACTATATTGTAAAAATGAAACATGCTGTTTTGACTTGTAAGCTGGAAAGGTAACAGGTGCGCATGTTAGGTATGTTTCTGTTTAATGCACACATGCGTATTGAACACAGTGAAAATAAGTGAACATGCAGTAGAATAAAATACCAATGAATGTCTAGTTCCCTTCAACAGTCTTGTTCAGGGATGCCTGCTTAAAACTTACCAGCTCTCAATAGGTAATTTTAAAAATTAAAATATAGTCTAAGGTGTTTTGTCACACCCTTGTCTGGCTGAGAACTCCTGCTGCATATGGTGAAATGCACATTATTCCTCCTGCAGCAAGGCTCTCCTAGCTCATTACATGTGCTCTGGATACTGCTTGACTGCTTTTGGATCTGGAGTTACTGGATTATTCAGTAGAGACTAAGATGTAGGAAAGGCATGTTTCAAACTAAGACCATGGTCTGGAACTCCAAGTTGATTCCATTCCTGACCTGGAAGAGAAGACTTCTTGGTTCCTTGTGGGCATCTTAAATCTGTACCAGTGTTGCCACTCTACTGAGGCTATGGACAGTGGCATAGGCACTATTCTCCAGATCCTTGCTATTCATGTTTTCAAGACATTGATCTTGTTGATGGACCAGGGGAGCCAGCCATGATGGGAGAGCAGTTTTGTGGCAACAACTCACTACAAAGGTAATGCAAAAATTGTTTCCCTGGCTCACCCTCAACTTCTGAGTCATCTCCCTTGGGACATTTGGGCCAAATGAGATTCTGACCTGGATGCTTGCAGTCAGCTCTGTAGCACTAATTCTTCTTCCTCCTTCATTTGTTAGCTCCAGATAAGGAAGGAGCTGAAGATGATGTTTTGTTCCCTCCAAATGGAACTGGTTTCCAGCCGAAGGTAAATCTCCTGATAGGGAAGACATGATTTAAACATAGTGTCAAGAATAGCTTTTGGCTGAAAGTTGATGGTCTAAAGAGTACTCTTATGCTGTGAGGGCAAGGCCATGAAGCAAAGCTATCTCTAGCCCTATTTATGCCTGGAGATAGTGGAGTTTGTGAATTCTGAGGAGGAAAGGCATGCTGCTCATTACAGCATGGGGTTAGGGAGAAACCTTAGGAAGGGAGGGTAATAAACAGCAGCCCATACCCTACCTGACATCTCTATCCCTAAATCTCCAATTTTTTATTAATTCCTACATTTCCTTGCTTCTTGCTCTTCACAGAAGAGGAGAAAGCCTGCAGCAAACATTTCCACTACTGTAGGGCCATCCAGCAAGTGAGAACACTCTTCAGCAGATCACCAGCTGTCACGTCTCGCTCTAGTGTGCTGTGCAGAGAGTTTCTAGCCATTTTCAGCCTTTGTGGGAAGCCAGTTCCTCTGCACTTCAGGGTCTCTCTGGTAAGAACTAAGCAAGATAGGGTTGCCCGGTCCCCACCACCCACCGGCGAGGGATGGGGGGGCAAGGATCGTAGGGAAGGCCATGCTCCATTTGAAGCCACTCATGTGTGATATCTGCATGCAAGGGTGGTGTTAGATAATGGGCGACAGGGGCAGGGGTCCAGCTCCCCGTGCTGGGAAAGTCTCTGACCACCCCTGGCACAACCTCCCCATGAATGAGGTGGGAAAAGAAGAAGAGAAGGCTCATGATGCCACTTGAGCCCACCCTGACTGAGACTGAGACAGCTGGCTTCCAGTGGCAGCAGTGTCTCCCCCCACCCACCTTGCCTGGGGGCCAACCCTTGCCTGGCCTCAGTGGGGGAGGCAGCAGAGGGGTTGGCAGTGATTCACCTAGGGCCCTAGAATCATTGAGGCCATCTAGGGTTGCCAGGTCTGGGTTGGAAAATACCTGGAGACTTTGGGGGTGGATCCAGGAGCAGGCAGGGTTTGGGAAGGGGAGGGGCCTCAGCATGGTACAATGCCACAGAGTCCACCCTTCAAAGCAGCCATTTCCTCTAGAGGAGCTGTCCTTTGTCAGCTGGAGATCACTTGTAAAAGCGGGAGATCCCCAGGCTCCACCTGGAGGCTGGCAACCCTAAGGCCATACCTGTCTGAATACAGGCCAATGTTCAAAAAATACACAAAGAATTTCCTGAGCAGCCCTCAGAATAATGGATAGGGCTTCTTGCTATTGTGAGGTAGTAGTCTTGTTAACATTGCCTTCCGGAATCTCACCTTCCCTTTTGTCTGGTCATTCAGTGGTCTAGGATGGCGTGTGGGGGAGAGTCCGCAGTAATTTCTGAGCAATGATGATGCTTCTGGTGTTCCCGAGTGACTTTTAGCCGCAGGATGGCTTGCAAAAGGGAATGCTCCAGATGCATCCAGAATGGTGTTAGGTTGGTGCTTGCCTACTGGTAGGGTTGCCAAGTCCATCTTCCACCCCCAGCGGGGGACTTTGGGGGCATTTTTCCTGGAAGGGGTGGGGCATCCCCAATGTGATGATGTCACGTTGGGGACGTCTGCCGCCCCCCCCCCCGCCGTGCGCCGGATCTCCAGAAACAGCAGTTCCCTGCACTTAAAGTAGCTGGCAGCCGGCGTTTCCCCTTTAAGAGAAGCTGCGTTTCCCTTTTAAGAACGAAGCTGGCTTTTCCCTGCAAGCTTGCAGAGTTCGCACTTGGGATGAAACACGGGTTGCACACCCTTAAAGGGAGAGAGATGGGTGGCTGTGGGTGTTGGGGGCGGTGGGTAGAACCCCCCCAAAATGGGGGACCCCTGGCAAACCGGGGGGTTTGGCAACCCTACCTACTGGTAGGGTGAGGTGGGATTGCTGGGTCTCAGCACATCTGATGAATATAAAGTGGTGTATTCATTCAACGTGATGCTCTGATTTTTTCACAATACACTCCAGCTCCCCTAGTTTGGTCTAGCATTTGGTTTGGGGATTGCTGCACTAAAAGTAAGATATGGATTGCCATTAGGGGAAAGATTTGGAAAAACTACCAGGCTCCTTTTTCTGGTTTCAAATGACTGAGAGTAGATCCTGTTTCCTTTTCAGAATCCTGAAACCAAACCAAATTTCTCAATTCCCCGGGCAATGTTACACCCTGCATACAGACAGGAAATAATGGTGCACTGTGAAGCCAAGAGGCAGGCCAAATGAAGAAAGAAACAGCTGAATGCTTGTGGCATGATGATGGTTCCTTTGCTCTTTTCTGGTTTATTTTTGTGGCACATTGCTCGGCAAATAGAAGTGGTAGCTAGGTGAGTCTGTGGGTTTATTTGGGCAGAAGCTTTTGTGGCTTATTCATTGGATACACTTGGACCTGGTGCAGTGGGCTTCAGTCCTCAAAAGACAACAACACAATATATTGGCGAGTTTTCAAAGTGTCGGGAGACTCCATTTTGTTTTTGCTGAGCCAGAAGTTTCCAAATGAGAATTTAAGATCTTCTATCCTTTTTTGGCCTTTCCTTGTTTTTGGCAGTGGTGGAAGGTTTACGTGATTGTGTAATTTTAACCCCAGAGGTCTTTTAAATCACTCATTTGTAATTACAGTGTTGCTGGCAGATCTGACAATCAAGATGTTTCTCAGTTGTGCCCATACACACATACACAAACAGACTTCATTTTTGGCCTGGGCTTAGAACCTTTTGTATGTTTTCACAAAATTGCTTCGATATCCTTGATACTATAGATGTTTATATAATCCACAACTACATTTCTGTTAAAGATTAAGTGAGTATTTGCATTTGAGGTGGAGTCTTGTTCAGTGGTTGAGCTTCTGAATTGCCTAGAAGGTCCTAGGTTCAATCACTGACTTCTCCAGTTAAAAGTATCAGGTAGTATTAAAAGGTGATGTGAAAAACCTCTTCCTGAAGTCCTGGACAGGTGCTTCCACTAGACAAGACTGACTTTGATAGACCAATGGATTGACTCATTATAAGGGAGCTGTGTGTGTGTGAGAGAGAGAGAGAGAGACAGACAGACAGACAGAGAGACAGACAGAGAGACAGAGAGACCAAATTTGCAGTAGCTTGCCACCCAATTTTTTAACATAAAATTTTGAATTCTCAGTTTGGGCTTGAAAATTCATCTCAGAATTCAAGCCCTCCCCATGCACGTGCAGCTACTACATGTAGAAAGATTTGTACAGGATTCAAATCAGCCCTGTTTCTTTCTTCCCTTCCTTTCCCAGTGGGCACCAGGCCTGTAAAAAGGAATGGGAGGACTGTGCCTCTTATACCTCCCTCCAGCCGTCCCTTCTGATCAGTCGAGTTATTTAAAATCCAAAACACTGAGACTGGAGAACAGGAATACACATTCCAGCAAATCTTTTCTAGTATTCTGAGGGAGGGAGGACTACCTGACATTAGTTTCCAGGATTACAGAGCAGCCACAGTCTGGAGTCCAGGTTTTTAGGTTTTGATGTGACAGAAGACAATTAGTGAGGTACTTATGCACATGGGTACTTCGGAGCATGACAGAAGACAGGAGGGCCTGGCGTGATGTGGTCCATGGGATCGCGAAGAGTCGGACTTGACTGCGCAACTGAACAACAACAACCATGTAGGCTTGCCAGCTTCCCCTGGCTACCAGCGATAGGGTTGCCAGCTCCAGATTAGGAAACTCCTGGAGCCTGGGGGAGGACAGGGAACTCGGTGAGGTAGCGTGGCACAGAGCCCACCCTCCAAATTATCCATTTTTTCCAGGGATCTCTGTAATCTGGAGACTAGCTGTAATTCCAGGGGATCCCCAGGTCCCACCTAGAGGCTGGCATCCCTAGTGCCATGGCACAAATTCACCATTAAAAAAAGATTTAGTATGAAGCAGGAAATCAGTCACAATGGCCAGCAAAAGGCACAGTGAAGATTCTGAATGAATCAAAACACTTTAATGAAGTACATGAATTTGGGTGAGAAAGGCAGGAAAGGGAAGAGCGAACAGCAGCTGATTGTGGGGTGTGGAGCAGATTAGGCCTCCTCTTCTTATAAATACCCACAACAGATAGTGTGCAAAACTACTTGCGCTGATGTGCCTTCATTGCTTTCTGCAACAAAAAGTAAACTCACATTAGCTTATGTACTAGCAGGAACCCACAAGAGGGCCATGATTTCTTGTGGAATCATTAGAGGATGGTCTAATAATGATGTATTTCCCGAGGCAGGCCAGGTGGCACAGAAAGACAAAATGACCAAGAGACAGATTTGTTATGCTTAACAAACCAGCTAGACAAGGAGTCAGTGCCGGTCCAGTCATGTGCACCTAAGCAGGGAGAATGTTCAGTCTCCAACTTCATTGGTATCACCTCATGTCCTGTGCCAAAGCTTCTTAATTCTCCTTTCATTATCTCTCCTGTGACCAATGGTTGACTTAAAAAGCCAAGGGACAATCACCAGAACAAAACAGAAAAAGAAAGGGGGGGTCCTTCCTGGGAAATGTGAAGATCTGCAATGTACAAATAAGAGACTGTATTTTATTATAACCTAAAGGCCTGCCCTTCTGGAGCTGTCCAGGCTCTATGCTCAGTCTCAGCTGTGCATCCCAATGTTCATGTAAAAAAAGTATAATCCCCTGGAGTTTATTTCTGCATTGCAGGACACGTGTTGAGATGACTGAGCCTCAGCAGCATGAAATATATTTTACAAATGAAGCCTAGAACCTCTGGGCATCCTGAGGTGGGTACTGCAGGTCTTTCTGGATAATGGGAATGGTCTGAAGGGACATTAATATGACCACCAAAGTTTAGTGTGTTACACATTACAAGTATGTTATGCTTCACAAGTGTCACAGCATGCCTCCCCCATTCCCAGTCTCCTCTGGGATACAATAAACCAAACTCTCCCTTCTGTTTTCCTTTTTTCCTCTCAACTGATGGTCAGGTTCCCTCAACATTCAATGACGTCTGTAGGGCAGTGTGCATGATCAGTGTTCATTAGGCCATTCAGTGGAGGGTCCTTCGTGGTTTAAAATGTACAGGGTTTTTTTCTGCATCTTTGGAGAGGGCCCGGAGACCTGGAGAGGCCCTATTGGTCTCAATTCACCACCCTGTTCACAGGTTTGGGATCATCACGCTTACTATTAGGAGTGATTTATGGGGGACACTCTGATAAGGCCAGTCATAGGTTCCTGGCAGTGACAAGGAAATACAAATTTTCCATTGGTGAGCATGTGGCAGCATTATTGAGATCAGAGCTATGCAAGGCTTGAGGTCGATAGAAGGTCACACTCACATCCAGTTTCCCTGGCAGTTCATCAGAATTTCTGGCAGATCTAACTCATAAACTACCAAATGTGCATGTTTGTATGAATTGTAGCATCTTATACAGAATGATTTATACTTCTTATAATTATGAAAATATGAATGATATAAATAAATGGAATATATTAACAAAGCCTACATACAGGGAACTGACTGTGGATTCAGGGCCTTTCCATACAACCCATCAAGGCTAGTGGCAGCCAATGCTCCCTCTAAGCTGTGGAGTCTTATGAGCAAAAATTGTACTTTGTGAGCTACTGGCATTAAAGTTGTGAGCGAGTGATCTGGCTACTGCATAAATTAGTTTGCTCTGGAGCCATCCTTCCTGAGCTAAGACAAAAATGTGTGAGCTGGAGGCTAAAAAACTTAGCTTGGAGGGAACACTGGTGGCAGCTGTGGGAAAAGCCTGTATGTAGTGGTCTCCTGTGATGGGTCAGTCAGTTGTATGCACTAACCACCCACTCAAATACATGGCAGCAGGTATAGGCTGGAGGCCACCACACATGGATTTTTCCATAACGTTTCCTGTGGCCAGCTATGGCGATCTTGCCCTCTTCCTTCCCTCATACACAGGATTTTCCCTTTGTTTCTTTTTTATTTTTTGCTGTGCAGCCCTTACATCTATTTTCTTCTTATTTGTTGGTCTATGGCTGTCCCACTCTGTCATGTTATTATATATTTTGATGATGGCCCAGCCCAAGGACTTGAGGGAACAGACAAAAGCACCTGCTAATACACTCCTCCTGTAACAGCACACAAGAGGCTATTGAAAGTTCAAAAATAAGCAACATATTTTATTTAACTTGGAGGGGGAAAGGTCAGGTGAAATCAGGGGTAAGATATATGAGGTGAACCAATAATAAACACTGAGATAACTTTGTAACCACACTAAATCAAACTAATATGTTGCCAACAAGTAAGTGTTTTCACCTTTCAACAAGGTCTTTGAAACTTTGAGGAAAGTGGCTTTCTTTTCAGTTTCTGCTTTAACTTGCATGCATAGGTTTCTGCGTGTCACTGATACTTCATGTTTAGAAGGCAGGAATGTACAACCAAGTTCCCAGAAGCCTTTGATATATACAGACCAAGGGATCACTCCTCTCTTTAGAACTATCTCTTTTCACTGGGCAAGGATTACTTCACTAGAAGCTCTGTCCCTTTTCAACTTGAATGTGGATCTTCTGTGATCCTCTCACTCCTCTTTGCCTTCTTCCCTGTCCTCAGTCAGTGCTAAATTGTCTCCTCTTCAGTCATCAGTTCCCAACTGTCATTTCTTAACTGACGCTCTCCACAGAATTCAGTTTGAACAGTCTGTCACTTGAAGGTTCTCAGACTAAATGAGGCATTAATCCTTGACAGTCTGTCGCACTAGCCTTTACTAATTGTACATAGGCCTGAAAACAATTCATTTTCCCCAATGAATGCTGATTTCTGCAGATGAGGGGCAGTTACAGTTTTTTAGCCAGCGTATGGCAGCTGTTAGTGACACTGTGGCAATCACATGACTGCTGGACAGCTCACACAGAATGTTGGGCGGATCAGGACATAACACTCAATTTAATCTGCCTGGAAACTGTCATTTGCAATGCTATGTAAAAGGTAATGCACAGAATTTTACTTGTACCCATCAGCAGTTATGTGACTGTTCTAGCCCATGCTGCTATGGATAAAAGTCAGCATGTGAAGACTAAAACATGCTGTGTTGTGCAGCAGTTGTGTGAATGGGCTCCCAACTGTGTGTGAAATGGGCTCCCAACATTGTCTGAAAGGTTCCAGTGTCTGATAGCAGTTGGACAGACAGCAAATAAGTGATGAAGCCCCGATGTGGTGACTGCTTGTTTGAATGTTCTAACATAGTGCTGACATGCGGTTGAATTGTGACTTTCCTAGTCCAGCTCAAACC